CTTCCGATCAAGTAATTTCCTTTTTAAAAAAAATCAATTCTTTAAACAAAAAAATTGAATTTTATTAGATTTATGTCCGAATATATGTTTGTTTGATAATGTTGTCGGAATAGAGATCTATCACCGAAAACTTGTCTTATTATTATTTTTTAAAATTGAGAATTGCTAATTTCTTAATTTTCTTGTGTTAATTGGGACTTTTTTTGTAATTATTGTTATGCAGGAGGGGATTATCGAACCACTTTTCTGGAAAATCAAAGTCGTTTGCGAATCTGTCAGATGTGAGCACAGCGAATGATCTTGTTAAGAGAGAGAATCCATTGAACAAAAGGAGGAGAATTCTGATTGCTTCAAAGTGGTCAAAGAAGTCATTTTACAGTTGGGCAAACCCAAAATCCATGCCCCTTTTGACCCTCAAAGAGAATGATGAAGAAAACCAAGCTGAAAAAGAGGAACATGAAGAAAGCCAAGAAAAAGAAGAAGAAGAAGAAAGCGACAGTGATGACGAATCATGTCGTTTTGGTTTGCCAAAGTTTAATGAGAAGAGGCTCAAGAGTTTCAAGACAAGGAGTTGTTTCTCCCTGTCACATCTGCAAGAGCATAATAGACTCGTAGATGAAGAGGATCATCATCAAAACTAGAACAGCTTTTTAGCCTCTTTTTTATTTTTATTTTTTTTATTTCCTTTTATTTTATTTTATTTTTTCTGGTGGGTTGAGTGTTTTCAATGCCCACTGAAGAAAAAAAGGGCAAATGTTAAATGAGACATATATAATAGTTCTTCTTTATTTTGGAAATTTTAATGCGAAAAGATATGGATAGACATTAGTGGGTGATGTGGACTAGGTTTTTTTTATAATGCGATGTGGGGGCATTTGCAGGATAAAGACACATATGCCCTTACTTTTTTTTTAATTTGCAAAAATTACCCTTACTTTTTTAAGGCAATAGCATAATTTCATTAAAAATTCACTAAAAAATTAAAATACCGGACAAAATTAAAGTTAAAAATCGGGTGTTATTTATATGATTAGATAATATAACGTTTATATTGCCTCTATTGTATTGCAGGTAAACTTTTTATATCTGATTTTTTTTTTTTTTAAATTATGTTTTGGGGAAAAAACAATGAAATGATGAGTATGGTCTTTTTAATATTGTGTTTTGGGGGGAAAGACAGAGAAATGATGAGCAATGATTTTTAAATTTTATGTTTTGAGAAAAAATAAATAAATGATGGTTATAGTATATAAATAGGAGTCCTAGATATATTGTTTTTCTCTCATTGAGAAGAAGGATAAAGACTAAAAGCAGAGGACAAGCGATAGGTGCTTTCTTTATTTGTGATCATATTCAGACTCGGCTTATAAAAAACGTGAATAGACATATCCTTAGTTTGGTATTGCTTTTTAATTGTAAAATTAGTTTCTGTTTGTAGTAAAAATTAATTTTAGTGTTTGGTAAATCTTCTCAAAAGTGTTTTTTTAATAATTTTTTAATAATCTACAGCCAAAATCAGAAGTAGCACAACTTTAACTTTTAAATTGTGCAGAAATCAGCATAGTACAATTAATAAAACTTTCATAATACCCATAATACCCCTAATAAAATTTAAAATTGACAATCTTCCTAATTTAAAATTCACTCATAATATAATATAATAATAATATAATATAATAATATTATTATAACAAATAATATCATAATTATATTAATAACTCTAATATTATTATTTTATCATATAATATGATATTATAATAATAATATAATATAATATAATATAATATAATATAGTTATAATTTTTAATTATAATATAATTGAAATATTATTATTTCTTTTGTAATATTATAATATGTTTTATAATATTGTAATTATATTAATCATTTTAATAATATTAATATATTCTATATCATTATTATATAATATATTATTTAATAATAGTTTTATTGTATTACATTAAATATAATAATAAATATACATTATATTGTAATTCTATATTATTTTATAGTATAATATAATATAATCTAATCGTAATTTTTAATTATTTCAGTTTATTATTTTAATAATATTATTATATTCTATATTATAATTATATAATTTATTATATAATAATAGTTTTTATTATATTAAATATAATAATAAATATATATTATATTATAATATAATATAGTCGTAATTTTTAACTATTTACAGCAATTCAACTTCATAATTTACCAAACGCTATTACGTTGATTTTAAAACCAACACAGCTACTATAATTATAGTTTACCAAACACTCAGCTGCTTTTTGTAATAGCTGATTCTTCTTTCAGCACAGTTAAAAGTAATATTTCAAAATCTACAGCACTACCAAACTAAGCCATAGAATATGAACTTTTCTGGTAGGATATGTTTTAAGTACCGGTAATCACTGCTTTTTAAACGTCGGATTTATATTTGAACAGTTTGATTTACGTGTCAATGTTAAAAATTTATCAAGTGCCACACATAACTACCACAATTACATATCTAGCTGTTGAAATTTGATCCAACGTAAAAATAATAGGAACTATCGATAGTAAAAAAAAGGACATGTCATGCATGAGAAAATTTCTTAAAATATTAGACAAGAAGAGATTTAGATTTCAAAAGATCTTTTGAGTTGTGATCGGGTCTTGTAATGAATCACTCGAAATATTTTATTTTCTCCTGAAAATTTTTCGGGCAGGGTCTTAGAATTGGATGTTGGAAGTGAATGCATTAAGGAGCAATGCTAAATATAATAGTTCAAGTTGTGATTCGAGTTCCGTTTGGTTCATGGATTAGAACCACGTTATTAGAATTATTTTTGATTTACTTGTATTTTTTATGAGATAAAATACTATAGCGAACCACGAATCATGATTCGAATCAGTGAACGAATCCTTTTACCAAACGGGGGTGGCAAGCATAGCTTTGTTCCTATGTAAATAAAGCTACTCTTATCAAATGGTGGCTCATACGATGGCCTGTATGGGTGATGGATAAGCTAGATGCGATTATTCCTAAGTTTTGGTGGTCTGGTAATGCCCATTAAGATCGTTCCTTGCTTTTGATTGGGAAAGTATTTGCGAGCTCAAATAATGTGGTGGGCTGGGTTTAGAAGGTTTACAAATTCTAATCTTGCACTGCTCTATTAACTAGCTTGGGACTTTGTGGAAGACCATAATAAGTTGTGGGTTTCTGTTGTGTTGTTAAAGCTAAGAGCATATCTAATACAATGCTAAATTAGTATAACAACACTATATTTTAATATTTAAGTAGAAAAACTACTCTTAAATTAAATGTTATTCTCTATTTTGAATATACTATATGTTATATTTGGTGCAAAATTTACTACTAAATATACATATGCAAATTTAGCATTTGATTGCTATAAGTTAATATGCTTATTTTTTTATTTAATCATATTACAACATTTGCAATTTCAAATCATTTTAAAAAATTTAAAATTTACTTTTACAATTTCTAAATGCTTAATGATTATAACAAAAATTAATTTAACATTTAAAATAACATTGTGTGTTAGAGCATAAATAAAAATAACACTTTTATTTTTTTTATGTCATTTTCACATTTTTTTAATGACAAATATACCATTAGTATTAGTATTTACATTAGTCCATTGTCAAAATTTTTAGATCAAAGACTGATTTACCAAACACACTAGGTTCAGAGTCATCCATACAAAAAAGTTTATTTTAAAGTTTGAACCCATGAGCCCGATTCACACTGGCCTTTGAATGTGCATTTGGTTGAATTGGTTTTGAACCTATTTGCTCTCATTCCTTACAGTTCTTGGTATTTTATCCAGTTGAGATTACAGCATAAACCATATAAGTTAAGAATGGGACCAATAATATTAATTACTCTCGTTAACAAAATGGAAAATTTCCAACATTGAAAATAGATTTTTATCATGACCATGGCGTGTCGCGTGGCACCATTTCGTTTTCCTTCAACTGCCTCCCAAACACACTTCCTTTTCTCCACACTCCACGCCACTCGGCTCTCCCTCTCCGCCAACTCGACCGCGACGACTCAGCCGCAGCTGAGTCGACTCGGCCCGATCTTCATGAGCCAACCCGCCGCCGATTCGAGCGCTGTCCCTTCTTCCCAGGACGGCGCCGAGAAGGCCGACGGCTCCGACGTCCTGGTCCAGTACGTGGTGCTCCGGCGAGATCTGATCGACACGTGGCCGCTTGGGAGCGTGGTCACGCAGGGCTGCCACGCCTCCGTCGCCGCCGTTTGGCTCAGCAGAGAGGATCCTCACACAGTCCAGTATTGTAGCCCCGACAACATTGATTCTATGCACAAGGTAAAGAAGAACCCTAAAAAATGCTAAGCAATTTCGTTTTTGAATTTTGTTGCTTTGTTGTGTGGAATGAATTCGTTGGTTTTTGCTTGGTCTTTTAAAAGGTCAAAATGTGGAATTTGTTGTTTGGTAGTTTTCAGTAGCTGTTTTTGAAAGGTTGTTATTTTTGCCTGCCAGAGTAATTGCTTTTGTTTTGTTTATCGTAGGATTTGATTCTGGATAGTTTATTTTAACATCCCAAGGCAATAGAAACCTGCATCAACCTGTTTTCAGCTAGCTAAACTGAGTAAACGAGAACTAACATTTTTTTTTTTTTTTTGGAATAAGCTGTATATAATTGATTTGTTCTGCTTCTTGGCAGACTAGAAGCTAGAAGATGAAATATGGGCATGTATTTTTCTTCCCAAATATTGCTGATTTGGTTTCTGTTTGTCGAAATATATTTATGCAACCTACAAATGTATTCTTGTTTTGAAACTTTTAACATATTCTGTGTTGTTGTGATTTGTGTGATTGAAAATTTTCTCTGGATTTTGACTGTTGTGTGTGTGTGTGAGGTTGTGAACAATCCTAGGCCCTATTCTCCATGAAAAAAAAAAGTTCAAAAAAAAAAAAATCATAAGTTTTCTAATGATAGAAAATGGGCTCCGTATTGCAATATGTGAAATGACATTTCTCTTTGCTTTACATACAATGATAGTCTTGTATGTGTCAATTTGTCACTGCAAAATCACTTGTTATATTGAGTACAAATTTTCCAGTGCAAATTTGGCTTTTGATATAGTTACAAGATTAACAACGTAAGCACAATCAAGTATGAGATAATTGGGTTCGGGCTTAACTGTTGGAGCTAGTGATCCATAGATCCACTAATGTCCCCAAGTTAGCTTTACTAGAAGCTCTAAAAATAAAATTTAGAAGCTACTTGTACTGGAAGTCTTCTAGTAAGTCTCTTAACCTGGGAATGAGAGCCTCTATCTAGGAATTCCTTTCCCATTTCATGTCCAACCTATCCCCACTTGCGTGTCACTGAAAATTCATTTTAACATTTAACAGAGTTGGCGGTTTGTTTTCTAAACGTCTCCATTGACTTCTTTGTTCCGAACAAAGTTGGTTTCCATCTTTATGGTTCCTTTTGCTTGTAGATTTAATAATAATAATAATAATAATGAACAAAAAAAAAATTCAAAACAATCGAAAAGAGAGGAGAAACGATATAATTACTATTTTGTAAACCGGTAAACAATGAAGGAAAAAAGGGAAGGAAGACCCCATTGTAGACTTTCAACATTTTTAGTCAAAACTCAAAGGCTTGATATGGCATTTTACCAGAAAGAAATGATGGGATCCCAACCTATGCCTTGCTTCAACTGTCAATTTCACACTTCTAGTGGCTTAGACGAGCTGCTCAACCTAAATAATCATTGATGGCAAAAGCAATGCTTTTAACAAGTTATAGAGCCCTACCCATTGACTTACCCAATTGAAAGTCGATTATGATTATGCTCTCATTAGAGGTTTGTTAAAAAATGATTGAAGAGGCTGAGTAAAATCATGAATGGATAAAGAAAAATAAAAGAAATGGAAAAGAAAAGGCTATCTTTGTGAAATGTTGTTTGAGTTTTAAATGATGTGACAATGAGGGATTGGTTGGATAGGAATTGGGACGAGTTCTTAGATCTGAGTCCCCTTATCTGAATAGGGGTAGACGTCTTCCTGAAATAAGGAGGTAGAACATGCCTAAATCACAAATATAGTAAAGAGAAAGCCGAATTCGAGTTCCTAGTTCCACCAAGAGAGAGAAACAGAGCACGTTCAAGAGATAAAGAGTAAAAAGAGAAAAGCCATGTGCTGGAGATTTCACATTCTAAGCCTTAGGCCATCTTTGAAGCTTGTCTTCAACTATGTTCTTGAAGATGCACTCAGAGTCTCAGACTTTGGTGGCGTAGGAAATAAGAGAGTAACTTGGACGATCGTTTGATTTTTTTTTAACTATTATTATTATTATTAAAAGTCATTTTGACTTTGGTTTGAGGATATTGAAAAACAAAAAATAATAATAAGCTTGTTCATAACCACATCTTCTCTCCAGATTCCTTTTAGAGGCGTCACAAGAATTTCATAGTGATCCTTCTCTTAAAAATAAGATTTCAACATTCAAAAATTTTTCAAGGACTGCTATAAAAATGTAATGATGCAATATAAAAGAAATATAATGAAAGAACATGATTAGCTAGGGCTGGATGTTCAAAAACTATATTCAAATTGAAGGCTTCTTTTCTGAAAATCTTCTCAATAATTTTATACCTTCCTTGGCCAGTGGCCACTTGCTAGAACATGAACTCGTTCTATGGGTGTGCTCTGTCGTTCTCTCTCTAGTAGAACTTGTAATTTCACCAATTCCCTTAGTTTGGTGTTTTCCTTACGAATATAATTCGATTGGTGTTCTTCACTTTCCAATATTTCTTAGTATGCATGTAATACTCCTTATTTACCCGGGTGATATCCGCCCCTAATATGAAACGTCTTTTTTTATTCAGCTTGTTTGCCTAAGATTATCTAATAAGGAGGATATTTACGAAGTAAATTATGGGAGTCTAATGGTCATTTCCCCTTATTTTATGTCTGTTGGACCAACAAGAATTTACACTACAAATCAAGAGTCACAACTGATGATGTTTTTATTCCTGGTTGTTATCTTATGTTCATTTGAGTAAAATCTCATGTATGAATAATATTGTGTGTGGTGGAGTATTAGTGTGAAGTTAGTTTTATAAAAGTACAGACAATAATCTATTTTCTGAACATTCAGGTTACTCTTGAGGTGAAGGGAGAGACCCAAATCTTGAACTTATCAGAAAAGCTGAAATCTGGTGGCATAGCACATAAACTTTGGATTGAACAACCTGAGAATTTTCCAACATGTCTTGCTACAAAACCTTACCCCAAATCCATTGTATCGTCATATTTTAAGAAGTTGAAGCTCTGTAAGTGATTGATTATTGATCTCATTATTCATACCCTTTAATTCATCACATAACTTCGTTGGCTAGACAACCGAATTTTGGCTTAGATTGTACGCTTCTCCTCGTACCATTTTTGTTAGGATTTTTGTTCTTCCACCGTCAGGTTGGTTGCTACACTAAAATTTAAATGAATGCGTCTTGGGAGGCGGCTTTATCGAGTATATATAGAAGAAAAGTTCATGAATGTGATGATGTTTGATGGAAGGAATGCCTCTCTTGGAAGGTTTTCACCATTTGTATTTCAATTGAGAAAATTAATTAATTGAAAAAATATGAAAAAATGCGTTAGAAAATTGATTTTTATTATAAAATTTTTTTTAAGGTTTTTAGACATTTTGTGGACATTTTAAAAAATATCCTGAATATTTACGGATATTCACATATATTTACAGATTTTATGAATTTTTTAGATATTACGGATATTTTATGGACACATTAAGAAGAATATATTTTCTTTTATATCTATATCAAGACTTTAAAATATGAATAATATTGTGAAAAACTTTAAAATTTTATATCTATATCAAGACTTTTAAAATATGAATAATATTGTGAAAAACTTTAAAATATAAATAATATCGTGAAAACCTCGACGATATCGTAGACATTTTCATCAATGGACAGGAGATAAAATGAGGGCATAGAGAAAGCCTCCTCGACACTTGATGTCTTGATCCGGTATATTATCAACTTGAAGAAAATGCAATTAATATTTCTTTGTTTTCTTTTTCTTTTTCATCTAAATATCGCTGCTTTTTCTGGCCATCTCATTCTTAAGAAGTAACCAGTCTTTTTTTCATTTCTTTTTTTTTTTGTCTGGAAAGAACTAACCGTAAGAGTATGTTTGGTAGGAAAGAAAAGTAGAAGGAAAGAAGAAGATTGAGGGATTTTGAGAGGAAAAATAAAAATATAGGTTGTTTGATAGGAGAGAAAAGAGAAATGAAGAGAAAATAGAATAAAAAATAATACATATGGATCCCGCCATTTTTTTTCATTCCACAAGTGGACAGAAAATGAGATGAAAAATAAAGATAACTCATTAAAGTGAACAAAGTTACTAAGCTACTCTTTTCTCCATCAACATCTAAGCAAAAAATTTAAGAGTACAAAAATAATTTACAAGTAAAATTTTTTCTTTCCTCTCAATTTAACTTTCAATACCAAACAAGTGAAAGTAAGCTCATTTTCTTTCCATCTTCTCATACTAAATAACATAAAAGAAAATTAATTTCTTTTCCATCATTGCTATTTTCTATCACTTCCATATTTCTTTTCTAACTTATTTTCTTTTCTTCCTACCAAACTTAGCATAAGAGATACGTGTACAAGAGTTTCCACTAGATGGTTAGTTACAAACGAAATTTTTGTAAATATATATATATATATAAATTTTTGATAGAAAACAATGTAAGTTATGTTCGTTTGTTTAGCTCACAAAACTGAAAAAAAAAAAAAAAAAAAAAAAAAACGGTGGAAGAACTTAAGCTGATATTTCTTACAATATTACAGAGTACTAGCTTTGGCTTGAAATCTGCAATGAAAATGCAGAAATTTCAACAATCCAGACCAAAAGTTAAAACACTTCTATTACAACACTGTAGAACCAAAAAAAAATCCTTCCATCACAACAACTCGCTAGAGTATAATTATATACAAACAACGTCACTAAAACCAGAAATTAATAGCAAAAAAACAAAAAACCAAAAAAAAAAAAACCAAAAACTCAGTTTAGACTTTAGATGATCAATATTGAAGAACCAAGCGTCTAGCACAGACAGAGCAATAGAACTTGCGCTTGGTTTTCCAGTAAAGAGGAAGGAAACAGAACCTCCACTGGCTCTCCACGTCCATGGCCTGAATCATCCCTCCGCAGTAGGGACACGCCCCCGGCGCCACTTGCCTCGACAGAACTCGCTCGTCCTCGTCGCACACGAACACCAAACACATCGCGTGATTCCCCCACAAATCTCTTCCTCGATTGCTGTTTGATATGTATGTATATCTGAAAGCTTATTTGGGGCTTTTGATCGGAAAAGTTCTAATTGATTGTTTGTTTGCCGCGAAATTAGAGTACGCCAATTTTTATGGTCCCAAGGAATTGGGGATTTTCCGATTTATAGAAGAGAAAGATTCTGGAAGAATATAGGTGGGACTGGAGATTTTTCTTGTTGTTGTTTGGGTTGAAGGAAAGTTATGTGCGAAAGCGCGTATCTAGAAAATTCCTCTTTATATATTCCATTTTTACGAGTTGAGGCTTTTCTCAAACTTAGGACCGCTAGTAAGAAGAAAGATTTTTTTTTTTTTTTTTTTTTTGTGTGTGTGTGTGTGGAAAATATGAAGTTTTTAATACATCATCACCCACGTGTAATTCTTATGTCATACACGGTCTTGTGGAACCGACAGACACGTTTCCGGTTACATAATTTTGTAAGGATGTAAGAGAATGACACTTTTGATAAAAATATTAAATTTAAATTTTTATAAAAAAAAATATTGTAATAATATGATTTGAGTTGAATAAGGTTTTAAGGTTTTTCTTTTGTTGTTCAGACTTTTCCTAGGACTAGTTATTAGCCATGCGCACCGCGCATGTGACGATGGCGACGGAGCAATGAGGCGGTTTTGAGATAGAGTGGTTTTTTTGTCAATAAAAACACTCGCTATTTCTTTTTAACTAACACGAATAAAATTGACAGGTATGGGGCAAGTTTTTTCGTCATGAGTTTGAGATATATACTCGTGGTACCCTATAAAAAGTAATTAATGAATTAATACAACTATGTAAAATTTTAAGCAAAAAAAGAAAAAGAAAAAAAGAAACCGTAGTTTCGAATTTTCACATATATGTATATATTATGTAATATATTATACTTAATTTAGTATATTTTACAAATATATTTATTTTAGAAATTATAGGATATAATTAAACATGATAGGTAAATGGGGGAATAGAATTGAGAATCTTTAATTTTGCTCCCGCTCTGCGGCCAGGTTAAAACTTTGACCCATTCTCAATCCGACTCTATTTAAACCAGATTTTTAGCCCATTTAAGGAGAGACTCCCTGGCAGGTAAATAGATTTTCAAGTAAAATTATATCCCTATGTGCAATGGCATCTTATACAAGAGTTGAATAATATTAAATATATTTGAGTTATTGAGAAGAAAAAAGATGTTTAAATAAGCGCATATTTGAGAATAATTATTTTATGAGTAGTTATTTTTTTAAATATAAAAATATTTTAAAACAAACTAAATAAAAAACTAATTAGGGTGTACCTATGAGAAGCAGAAAAAAGTTTGATTTAAAGTACTTTTGAGAAAATTATTTTCGAGTAAAACCTAACAATGAAATTAGTCAAACACAAGTCTAACATATATAGAGGATTATAGTAAAAATATTTTAAGTAGGGATATATTTGTAAACAAATATTTGAATTGAGAAATTAGAAAAGAAAAATAGTTTAAGAAGTGAAAAAAAAAAACATGAAAAAAGGAGAAGAATGCAATAAAAAATAAATAAGGGTTAAGAACAAGGGAAAAAACGGGCGAACAAAACGGCCACTTGTGTGGCCGAAGGAGCGCTCGTTACGCATTAAGACTTTTATACATATAGATTTACTCAAAATAGAGGATCTTAATGAGAAAGTAAATTATAGGAGGTCTCCTTCAAAACTTAGGGACCTTTTACGGTACGTTAACATACTGGTAGGTCATGTTTTCTGTCTATCATATCTATATAAAATTACATAAAAATCAAAAAGTATGTAGATCTAACAATTAGAAAAACCTGATCTACCTGTACACCTGTGTACTAGAGAATCTCCTCAAAAGTTGACTCTTTTTTTTTTTAACCATTATTACATCGATGCCTTTTCTTGTTCTTTGATTTTTTATGTTCGTATGTTGATTACAATCCTTTTACTGTTTGTCACGTTAGAGTGGGTTTTTATCGGTTGTTAGAGTCACTCACAGGATGACCGCTGGTCATCTGCAAAACTCGATTGCAGAAGTCAAAATGTGACCACTGATCATCATTGTCAGTCGTCTAAATCGTTGGATGAGAACCACTGAAGTCGGTCATCAAAATTAGAAGATAGTCACCTATCGCGTTAAGTCACGCATTGGATGATGATCATCGGTCATTTCTCGGTGTTAGTCGCCATAGTCGATGGGTGATCGGCTGACCACTGGTAATTGATGACACCAATGGTTGAAGCTATTGGGTGACCACCGGTCATCTACTGGTGAACTAGTGAGTTTTTTTAGCGGAAGATTTTATCACATGCTATCTTCCAATTTGTGAATGCGGAATCAAATAATTTCTTGTGAGTTGTGAGATTTCATTGTCAGTGGGGGTGATCTAGTGAGGCGTAACTTCAGCACCGAGAGTGTCGATGAGGCCGACTAGAATGCGATGCGCCAATATTGGAGACCACATCCATTGCTTGCTTCAATGTTCACTTTGTGCTTTGCCATGCCTGTGATTTCATACTTCGACTCTTGTTACTACGGAGAGAGAGAAGGAGATTTCTAGGGCAACAAAAACATAAAGTATAAATGTTTTACTAAGTTTAAAATCAAATTAAGATGAATATAATTCTAAACGAGAAAAAAGTGGGATGTAAAACTAAAGAAAAGAATTGAAGGGAGCATATTTTCTAAATTTTCCAAAGAGTTTTACATAATTGGAGCAGTTTAAATACTAGACGATATAAGGTCACATATATTTAGAACTTTCATGGTTGGATTATCGTTTTATGATGTTAGGGCCTTCAATGATTATCGTTGTGCATATATGATATAGTTTCATATAAAAGATAATACTATAATAGAAAAAGTTATATTCAAATATTTTTTAAAGAAAATATTGTATTAAAAATATAAGTTTTGATTCAAATCAACAAAAATATATTGTATTAAAAAATATTTTTGATTCAAATTAAAAATATTTTACTAAAAAAGTTTAATGATGTCATTTATTGTTTTACTTTTCATCACGTTATGTACACTAGTGCCAGAATTTGAAGTCCCGACGTAATATTACATTATCGAAAAATTGGTGGGGACCTTTCAAAAAAAAAAATGGTGGAGAAATCCAAGGAAGTTTATTTTTTATTTTTTTTAATTAAGAAAATGTTAGTAGTTTGCAATAATTTTGATAGTGCGTATCTTTTCTGTGATGCGCCTATAGTCATATCAGTAGTGTGATACCTGCCCGAATCTTATAATTCCAAATGGACTAGAAGTCTCAATCACAGGCACTCTCTCTCTTGAACGACCCGATCTTACCATTTGCTACAAGTAATTTAAAAGCATAAGTAAAATAATTGCAACTTTTATCATAACTAGTTCTTAATTACTCCGCTGACAAAAATACTAATTCTGTTTATTTTACGGATTCGAATCACAATTCAATTCATTTTATTACACCTATTCTATTCACACTACTAAAGTCTAAACGGATAATTCATTTATTTATTTTTTACTGTGCCTTGACGCATGCTTGATAATGTTATATATTTCTATGGTTATGTTTTTGCTGGATTACTTGTATAGTTATATCTTGAGTACTTTTGCGTAATTAAGGGATTTTTTTTTTTTCAAAAGAAAAAAGGAACTCTATTGGACTCCTTAGTGCTTTTGTATGTACTACAAATATGACAATCATCAAAAAAAGAAAATACAAGTGTTTTGCAACTTTACTGCGCCTCCAAATAAACATTTGCGCGACAGTGATCGTCAAAGTTGTCCACTGCCCAAATCACGCACGCAAATTACAAAAAGATTGAAGACTAATTTGATGCCATGCCATAAAAAACTATTTTTATGAGCATGTTGACATATGTGAGCTGATTGTGTTTGCATGATTGGCCTGGAAGCGCCATTGTAGACAAAAGTTTTAGATGAGCCTTTTATGCTTCGAGTTTAAGATTCACAATTATCACAAGTAATATCTTAAAAGCAAGTTTTTATTTGTTTATTTTTTTTTACTTTTTAGATTAGCAAATTTGTTTATCACCTGCTAGTCATTTTTGTAGTTTATAGACTTATAGTTAAAATCTTTACGCTACTAAACTATAGGGTAAGAGGTTTATGTACTAAATATGTGAAATTTTCTGAATTACACTAGAAACTAACAATGACATTTTTCACAATACCCTTCTATTTTTTTCTTTACTTGTCTTTTACAAAAAACTTTTTCTTTCACATAAATTAGAAACTACAAAAAATATTAAAAAAAGTTCTTAACATTTGGCCATTTCTTTTTAGAATTGGATGAGACTTAAAAACTATCTTATTGACAAAAACTTTTTTCAACTTTTATCAAGTTACAATGTGCTGACTTTCTTCAACAGCTCAAATTATCTTTCTTTTCATCATTCAATTGATGGAAAAAAAAAATAAATGTGATATATATATATATAGTCTGATAGTTTAATGCTTTTAAATCCTCGGTTATATGTGCATAATCTTACCTCGTTAATTGAGGTTAGCTCAAATAATTAGCATTTACTGGGTGCATGAGTTGTCTTAAATGCATTGAGTCCTCGGTTCAAGCTCCAACTAACTGGTCTCATTTAAAAAAGAAAAATGAGGATGGATGGAGAGATTCAACCTCTATACTTTATATTGAAATAAGATGTAAATTTATCGTCAGACTATACTTATAATTACAAATTAAAATGAAGAGTGCAACACAAAGACTTTCCAAGAGTTTTGATGGGATATGGCATACGGTGCATTGGTGTTGGTATGGTCGAATCCTAAAATATCATACAAAAAACGTAGTCAAGTAGTAAATTAACCGCTAAGATATCCTACCAAAGACATTTTAAACACCAACACATTTTAAGGAATCCACGCTGTACATAAAACAAGTGGAAACCAATATGCAGGGGCGGCTCAAGCGTAAGGCCACTAAGGCTATTGCCTTAGTCCCCCCAATGAGCCAAGTGAATTTTTTTCTCTCTTTTTTTTTGTGTAATTTTTTTAGAAAATAATCTTATTGTGTATATTTTTTAGTGTATTCAAGTGAATTTTTTAAAATTTAATCGCGTCTTGGGGAAATAAAAGATTGTAATCGAGACAGAGCATAATCTCAAAAAATAGTAATTGCTACTACTATTTTTTTTTTTTATTATTGCCACTTAATTCTCCGTTTGAAATATTGATATTTCTTATTTTCCTCTAAACACCCAGATTTCTTTTCCTCACAAAAGAAAAACAACCTCCAATAATACAAGTTTTTCATTTCTGATTTCCCATTCCTTCCTTCTTAACATTTTCCAACACTAATAAAAAAAATTCCACCAGTACAATTTGAAGGTTTTTAGTTCAATATTTGAATAGTTTTGTACTAGTTTTATTATTCTTAATTTCGTCTTTGAGATTCATATCATATTTTATGTATTGTCTTGTTTTGGATAGAAGTTTTGTTATTTGTCTAACATACAAAGAATTTAAGAGAAAAAACTGAAGAACAAAATTTTTTATGAAATCCTAAAGAGGAGCTCTTGATTACTTTCTAACTAGCAATAGAAAATATCCAATATAAGTCAATGTTTAGTAGCTGAAACATATGAATTAAAAGTATGATGATCATAGAAATATATATATTAACAATATAAATTAAGATCATACCTAAAATTCACAATATAACAGAAATTATTAAATTGATAAGTCAAACAATCTACTAAATTTAAGATATATTTTAGCAACTCTTGAATCTAAAAATTTAATCATAATTTACCAGCTTAAAAAACAAAAAATATAAATATTTTTAAAATTAAAAATGCATTAATTTTTTAAAAGGTCTTTTTATACAATTTTACTTAAGGCCTCGAATCACCTGAGCCGGGCCTGCCAATATGGTTCCTAGAATTATAGCAAAGTTAATCAGCCAATAAACAGGTTAAAAACAACAACAAAGATGCCACTGTTTAGTTCATTAGCAACAAAGTACTGCTAAATCAAACACACCGGCAAAGATGCCACTATGATCAACAAGGGCTAGCTAAGCTAACTAGCTAGAGAATATATATATAAATATATATATATATATATATATATGTATGTAGTGGAATTAAACAGCACTACATTTTGAAATCAGAAACTCTCTTAAAATTGCCTAACAATGCCAAGAAACACACAGATGTGACTCCACTAAAAATTGCCCGCCCTGTGAAGAAAATAATCTCAATTATCAGAACCCTCCAAAAAAAAACAAAATATTCTAAATTTCAAATTTAGTGCTTTTTTTATTTGAATATTTTTATGCATAAAGCACTTGACAACTAGACGGTGAAAATCCATGGAAAGCAGTTGGAGCTGCCAGGACCTGCCACGTCACCTTCACCTCCCCATTCCCTCCATCATACAAACTCCCAATCCCCACATTGAGCCCACTTGACATCACATATATCTTCCCATCCAGACTGCTCACAGCGAATGGCCGTCTCAGCGCGCCACACGGAAACTTCTCCCCTCCAACGTACTGCCACGTGTCCTGATCCTCATCGTACACCTTCATCGGACAGTCCCCGTGCTCCGATATCACCACCAGCCTGTCACCCACCACCGCGCTCACCCCCGTCCATCCCTCCCTCATCCCCTGCCTCATCTGCCGCCACGTGTCGCTCGCCGCGTCGTAGATCGCCCCCCTCGGCGAGAACATGAACGGCCACGTCCACCCCTCGGTGACGTACATCTTCCCACCAACAACCGCCGAGCTATACCGGTTCAGCGCCGCCGGGAGCTCCGTCGCCTTCGTCCACGTGTCGCTCTCATGGTCGTACGATTCGACGGAATTGATCGCCTCCCCGGCGGCGGTGCTACCCCCAACGGCGACGATCCTCCCGGCGACGTTTCCCGCCTCGAGGAAAAGCCTCGGTGTGTTCATCGGGGCGGATTCCGACCACTGATTGGTCGACGAGGTGTAGACCAAGGTAGTCCCCGTGGGGACGCTCGCATCGGATCCCAATCCCAATCCCCCGCCGAGGACAAAGAGCTTCCCGTGACGTGGCAGGGAGGCGCACGCGAATGCCGTGGGGCAAAACACGGCGTCGTTTGGGGATGGCATCGGCGGGGGGGCGAACCAACGGCCGGATCGGGGGTCGAGCGCCTGCCACTGAATCCTGGCCGTCGATTTCTTGAAGGCTAAGACGAAGAGGTAAGGCAAAGAAAGGGATAAGGACTTCTTATAGCTGAGAAAAGTCGGGCCTGTTATGGCTTTGTTCCACGACGACGAAACGGACCGGACAAGGGCTTGGTACGGATAAGGGACGTGTAGGAGACAGAGCTCTGCGACGTCGTTTGGAAGCCCCGGAATCAACTGGTTTTCACGGTCGTTTCTTCTTCTAGTGGTACTTTCTTCTTCTGAGGAAGGTTTGGAAATTGCCATTTGTGTGTATAAACGATGAAGTTGCAAGGACTTGGTAATATGGAGTATATGGATCTACTTATAAAATGACCACTTTGGTAGGTTAAATAAATATATATATATATATTATCTTTTTTATATGTGGAAATGTGTGTACGATACTGTATATAGCGGTTAACCAAAATAGTGGGTCCCAATAAAAGCAGTGTGTATATGTGTGACATGAATTATTGGCTCGTGAATGTTTTAAGACTAATTAAAGGTGCTTTTTTTTTTTACATTTGATTTAAAAAAGATAAAGGGGGAGGAAATCTAGAAGCCGGAATATATGGGAATGAGGAAAGATTGGAAGACATAAAAACACCGGTAAATCCGAGAGAACAAAAGACTAATTTGTGTGGGGGGTGATTAAACAAAGAGGATAAGAAAATGAAATGTCACTAGGAATCCGGGCAAACATGACATCAGCCGAGCAACCGGTCCAGTAGATACAGCCACCGCCGACAGTGACCGGAGTTGAACACAAAATGTTATTGGTCCTTTGCTTGTTTTTTAAAAAAAATAATACTTTAAGACTCGTTTTAATGAAAGTGGGTGTTAAATTTTGCCCTTTGGGGTTAATGACTTGGTAAGGCTCGTAAAGAGTGGGTAGATGCTAGATAGATCCAACAACAGTACAATAAACGTTATTATTAATGTTCACACTGAGAAGAGAAAAAAAATAGTGGTGTGTTTATGTGTATAAAGTGGTTCATATAATTGATTAGGAATAATATAAAAGCCATGCCATATATATATATATATATATATATGCTCTATAGTTGATGGGGGTAGGCCAACCAAAACCCCACCAAAAACTGGCTTTAAAGACCGCTAGCTAGTAACACATAGATAAATGTCGTTTGTTCCCTGTAAGGATGTATTATCAATTATATCATCGTCCCAGCAAAGGAGTCAGGACGTGACTAAATATTGGTTCTGTCCCGTGGTTATGTATTTACGCTCAAAATACATTGTATTCCATTCGTCTTCAATAATTATAAGTGAGGATTCAGATCTACTTGTTCCATTTTTTAGTGTATTGAATAGTGTTTAATCAATTATTTTATGTCATTTTATATATAAAAAATTTTAAAATACCTTTTTAATTAGTTTTTCCATGTTTATGTTTTCATATATGAGTCCATGTAATGAGTAATGCTAAGAATAATAACTCTTATTTTAACTTTTGTATTAACTTTTGTGTTGTTATTATTTTACTGGTAAGTGCATTTTATTAATTTGAAAATATTTTAAACGCTTATTAATAAAAAAAATAACAATTCATAAACTATTATAAAAGTTAAGGTTAATAGAATTGATGTCTCTAACATCATTCTAATGCAATTAGCCAGAAATAAAAAAATTCGATAGAAAATCTCATTCTTTTTTTGTATAATTGACATGTGTATGAATTGGGTCTGCTTTATTTTAAAAGATTTTTTTTTGATAGGCTAATCTACTAATAAGTCAATTTTTAATTATTTAATATAGTTAAAATCACATTAAATGAAAAAAAATATGTAGTGCATATAATTTTTAAGACAGAGTTCACCCATAATTTTGTGTGTGATGCTATTTTAATCCACGGTTCCGCGCCACTATTTTCTTTCTTTACGATCTTTTTATTATTATTATTTAGATTTCGTCCGTAATTTTATTGACACATGGAGAAGCATGTATCACTTTCGAGGCTTTAATTCCGGGAAAATGATTTGTGTCCCGAGTCGTGGAAATAACGATCCCTCGTACCATGTATACGTCAATGTGGGCCCTACGTATTTAACTCCCCACCTCTGCTCCTTTTCCTCACCGGCAACAGAGACAGCGGGCTTCGCCCGTTATTTGCACAAGGTTAAGACCCACTTTTTTCTTAAATGAAAAAACAAATGAAAAAGGGAAATGTACGAGATGGATTTTACTCTAAGAGTCCGTTTGGTTCATGAATTATAATTATAAAATTAGAATTATTTTTAATTTACGTGTGTTTTTTATGAGAAAAAATATTGTAACGAATTATGAATTATAATTCAAATCAGAGAACGAATCCTCCAATTAAACGGGCTCTAATTGATTTTCAAATCAAATTCATTATGCTTTTTGTTCAACCTTAGTAACTTGTATTCTTTTCAAAATAAAAATAAGTTGAAAATACTCTTGACTCTCAAACTTTCAAAGTAAATCATCCTTAAACTCTACCCAATCCCGATTGTTGAATGATGTGATTTAAATTGAATATGCATGGATTTGAACCTCAAAAGAGAACCTCTTAGAAACTAATGCAGAGAATTGTTTTTTTTCCCCCTCAAATTAAATATATTTCTACTTTAAATTGTTCTTTAGACTTTTTATTTTAATTATTTGAAGAAAGTGGGGAGTTAAAATCAATGGACTAGCTTGTGGTTGTAGTGAAAATGGGAGACGATATGGGTTTGGCAATTGACTTGGAATTAGTTTTGATGAAGTTGGAAGAACTGCACTGTTACCATCATCGTTGTTGTTGCCGGTTTGATTATTACAGCTTCGTTTAGTTCGAAGATTTGAGTTTTTAATTCGAGTTGAGATGTGATTTTATGTGAGAGTTTTTTACTATAGCATAAAAAGTTAGATGTGATTTTTTATGAGAGCTTTTAACTATAGTAAAATTAAGATTTAAAATTTAAATTGATGAAATAAATGAAATTTAAAATTTTTAGCTTTATATCTAGTGATGAGAGAAGGAGCTTTAGGGGGATGAAGGGGTTTTTTTAGCGAGTAAAAAAGAATACAAATTCTTTAGGAAAAAAAAAAAAGAATACAAATTAATTTTTTTTTAAAAATTTTAAGATTGATATAAATTTGTTGACATATGGCCACAATACCACGTGGACATCTAAATGGGTTCCATGTGGATCGTTGGAACCCACGAGTCGCGCTATATAGCACTGCTCTTAATTTTGCGATGGTGACCGTCCAATTCCATTTGTTTATGACCACATACTACTGTGGTCCAAAATATTAATAACACGATTTAAATCTCTTGAGACCTAAGAAAAGTCCATGCATTATATAATATCTATGCATGTATGTGTGTATATGTACGTGTTTGGAAAGTAGTTAAACAAGATTGTCAAACAGTAGTTATTTATTTTGTTTAATTTTTTTTTTTTTTTGCATAATTTATTTTTGTTGAATTTAAGGTTAGAACTTTACATCAAAGAAAGCAGCACTCGAGTATGGCTTGTGTAAGGTATCTCATGCCCTAAAAAGATTCCGTCTTTTAGAGACATAAATTTTGTTTTTTTGTTTTCTTTTCTTTTCTGTTTGGTAAGAGGAGTTTGTCTTTTTTGTCCCTGATAATTACTCCATCACTTCGCCAATAAATCCTATACTGAAACACTTAGGGTTGTTCAGAAGCCCTTAAAAACTCAAAAAAATACAATTTGAGTGATGAAGTTGGGTGAAGTTAAGGTCTGTTTAGTTCACTGATTTGAATTTTTTATTCGAATTGAGATGAGACTTTAGGCGAGAGCTTTTTACTGTAACAAAAAAGTTAGATGTAACTGTTTTTGAGAGCTTTTTACTGTAGCAAAACTCGAATCGGTAAAATGAATGGGGCCTTAATGTTCGGCTGAACCCAACTCAAAAATTAATTCGAGTCACCAATCCATTCTCGCCTCCTTTCTCGAGTTCAACCTTTCCCTTGAATTCGAGTTTAACTCTCGACTTCTACAGTGCATATTCTTGCGTGCGCATACCTGCCACTTGACTGTTAACATCTTCCAACAGATTGGCGATGACAGTAGAGGAAGAACCGGAGAAGAAGATCGCAGACTGATTAACAATAGATCGGTGACAATGGCAACGAGATCGACGATAGCAAGAAGCTCGGCCACTACGGCGATGAGAGAGGAGGGAGAACCGAAGACATTTGACGATCTAGAGACATCGATCTCGATGGAGGACAGATGATCTGCGAATCGTTGCCGGAGAAGAAGGCCAGCCTAGCAATAGATCGACGACAATGGCAACGAGATCGACGACAGCAAGAAGCTCGGTCGGAGAGAGAAGAGGAGAGAATGTCAAGAAGAGAGGAGAAAGAGTTGTTTATTTTATGTTGAAGAGCAAATTAAATAAGTTCTTGCTGTGTCGAACCACTTAAGATATGCCATTTTTTTAAAAAAATTTTAAATTAAATAAATTCAAATAAGAAATATGTTATTTTATCTCCCCACTATTCACAACTCAAGTTATTATACATCCAAACACAAACTCAAAAATATTTTCATCTCAAACCATAACTCAAATGTACACAACTAAAAACAAACTCAAGTTACAATTTAATCTCAAGTTATAACTCAAATTCAAGTTAAAAACTACACTCAAGTCACACCCTAAAAGAACACATAATTCATCATTGAAATTTCCAATATGGTGCTAAGCAAAATAAAAATTCCCTTGAAAATAAACAAACACGGAGAAAATACAATTAGGATGTTCATATTTACACTGAGGGTGCGTTTGGTTATAGTGGGGGAATGGGAATAAGAATGGGAATGAGAATGGTAATGGGAATGGAATGGAAAAGAAAGTTGATTCATTTGTTTGGTTGTAATTTTAAGAATTCTCTGGAATGGAACATGATTATTTTCACGTTGATAAACTTACCCTTATGCTGTATATAACACTAATATTTTATCTAGCAATATAATATATAAAATGTAATATAATATAATAAAATTATTATTATATAATATATTATATAATTATGATATATAATATAACAATATTATTAAAATTATTAATATAATTATAATATTATAA